TATATATATATAAATATATATAAATATATATATATATATATATATATATATATATATATATATATATATGTATATATATATATATATATATATATATATATATATATATATATATATATATATATATATATATATATATATATATATGTATATGTGTGTGTGTGTGTGTGTGTGTGTAAATATATATATGAATATATATATATATATATGTACATTATCCTATTATGTATATATATATATATATTATATACGTGTGTATATTTTATATATACACACACACGCATTTACATATATATATATATATATATATATATATATATATATATATATATATATATATATATATATATATATATATAAATATATATATATATATATATATATATATATATATATATATATATATATATATATATATATATATATGTATATGTGTGTGTGTGTGTGTGTGTGTGTAAATATATATATGAATATATATATATATATGTACATTATCCTATTATGTATATATATATATATATTATATACGTGTGTATATTTTATATATACACACACACGCATTTACATATATATATATATATATATATATATATATATATATATATATATATATATATATATATATATATATATATATATATATATATATATATATATATATATATATATTATATATATATATATATATATATATATATGCGTGTGTGTGTGTGCGTGTGTGTGTGTGTGTGTGTGTGTGTGTGTGTGTGTGTGTGTGTGTGGTGTGTGTGTGTGTGTGTGTGTTGTGTGTGTGTGTGTGTGTAAATATATATATGAATATATGATATATGTATATTATATCATATTATTTATATATATATATATTATATACGTATGTATATTTTATATATATATATACACAGCGTATATATAAATATATATATATATATATATAATATATATATATATATATATATAATATATTATACATATATATATATATATATATATATATATATATATATATGTATATATATATATATATATATATATATATATATATATATATATATATATATATATATATGTGACTGTCGCCATAGCTCAGTGGTTAGAGCACTGAACTCCGACCCTCGTGGTCCCGGGTTCAATTCCCCGTCGCGGCGGTCGTAAAAATGCCTGCGCTTTGATTGCTTGCTCGAGCCCGAGAAAACGACATATCGCCTTGAGAAGTCAAACGCAGGTGTCGTAGGGGAAGTTACCGCCGTGGCACAAGTGTTAACGCGCCGAACCGCGGTTGATTAGGAAGGGCATTCAATCAGGCAAGGGTGACACTGCCATATAACCTCTCATTACTGAATTGAGAGAGGCCTATGTCCTGCAGTGGAATGAATGGCTGTTAAAAAAAAAGAAAAAAAAAGAAAATATATGTATATATATATATATATATATATGTATATATATATATATATATATATATATATATATATATATATATATATAATTATATATATATATATATATATATATATATATATATATATATATATATATATATAATTAGGTTGCTAATTTGGTCTTAATTACTGACCTGGGCCCTCCACCAGCACAACCTTCTGCAGATCACCTCTTCTTTGTTGCTCACTATTACTATCCAGTGTTCAAATTCATGCACGCAAGATATAAAAAAAATGATATAGATAAAACAAGATAAATAAAAAAATGAAAAAAAAACAAATAAAATAATTTAACTCAGTTCACACATTCCCACCTCTCTCACGTCCGGGTGTTTGTCGCTGCGTCCTCACTCTTCCTCACTTTTCCTCTTCCTCTCCTCGCCCATCTCTCCTCACACCCATGGCCTCTGCGACTCGCTCCTCACGCCTCACGAGTGCGTTTTCGTTCGGGCGTAAGGACTTGGGATGTGGCATAGCACTTTCCCACGCAGCACCGGAAACCCTGTTAAGTGTTATAAATCCTTATTTTCTCTTCGTTCTTTCCTTTATTTTCATTTTTTGTTCATTTGTCAATATGAAATGCCCGTTTTTTTTTTACCGAAGATGTTTAAAATACGCTTAGTGGTTGTTACCCCCTCGAGTGGGTATGTCTCGTCTGGGCAGCTGTCTGTGTGTGAATGTGACGTCACACTAGGGGATTCCCCTTGACGTAATAGTTAATTTTCATTTTTTTTCTTTTCTTTTGTTTTCTACTCCATATAGCTCCATTGATTAGTTTGGTTACATTTTCCATTTATTTTCTGTTTCTATGTTTCTTTTACTATTTCTATGGTCACATCATAAATATCAGTCATTTTTATTGGGTCACTTTTTCAATCCTATTCAATTACAGTATTTTCGGGGGTAGGGGGATGTATATTTTGTAAAGGAAAAAAAAATGCACAAGACATCCTATAATCATTCACCCAATCAAAATTTCATTCGAATGCACACTTCCGTACATTCTGCACTGCTTCTTGGGGCTTCATTCGCGCTTCGACTCGCATCCTCATTCGCTCCGAGCGGTCGCTGCGATTCACGGCGGCTCATGGTTCCCAACTGCCGGTTGACCTTACTTCCGACATGTCATTTCTCATTCATCCTTACCCCCCCCCTCTCTCTCTATATATATATATATATGTATCTAAATATAGATATACATATACATATATATATATATATATATATATATATATATATATATATATATATATACATATATATGTATATATACAGATATATAAGTGAGTATGTGTATAAACTGCATGCGGTAGTGGAGTTCTGGTCCTGAGAAGTGTGGAGCCACCTCTCAGCCACTACAGCTCCCAAGTCCACTTCGACCCAGAGTGGAGCACGTGTCAGGGCCCCATCTAACGCTCAGACGAATTCTTGAGCTAAGATGGGAATACAGGCGACCCACCGTCATTGGCTTTATTAACTGCCTTATTAGCTGCCTTCGACTCCGTCCCAGATCCTGGGGATGATGGGACTACCAGAGGAAATCCTCACCCGCATGAAAGCAATGCATGAGGGATCTGCCAACGTCGTTAGAGTTGGAAGCAGGATCACCCAACCATTTGAGGCAAAGACAGGTGTCAAGCAAGGAACCTTGACCTCACCACTTTTGTTCCTCATCGTACTAGAAGTGGCGCTTGCTGCCTCAATGTCTGGTTGTCGCGGAATCTGTTTGGACCACCAGACCCATGTCACAGACTTCGACTATGCAGGCGACGTTGCCCACTTGG